GGATCACAACCTTGATGCCCACTGTTGATTTGTAGACTGTAAGAAAAGTATACTCTCCTGGCCCACTGTCTGAATTCTAACCTCTTATTTATAAAGCCTTTAGCACATGAACCAGTTCAGGCACCTCTACAACCCCCAAAGCTGCTTACACTCAACACTACAGTGCAAAGCAGCAGCACCATAGCACAATGCTGCTTGTATAGGCTACTACCACTTTCATAGTTAAAAGTACTGACCTACTACTTCACCTTCAAAATACAAAATGCTCCCTTTCTAATTAGTGGCTTGAGAAAGAAATATTTTAGTCAGCCAAGTATAAAAATACTCTGTGTACTTCTGTTCTTAGCTGCATGGGTTTTGTACAATGGCCTCTTGGCATTAGCTAGAATCTAGAGCCCAAATACTCAAAGGAAATCCCTCCCAACATAGTAATTAGTATCATTCATTTACTTGACCCACATTCTAAATGCACCAGACAGAACTCAGTGCTGATGCTTTGGGGATGGGGGAAGAGGTGGGAATTTCAGCAATGAGAAAAAGAGAAGGAAAGTTTTCGGATACTTTCTCAGCTGTACATTAAAGAAATCAAGAATAAGCCTGCACTGGGATACACTGTTATACAGAGGGCTATGGAAGAGATCTCCTGCCATCATGGATCAACCTGCAGCGCCTGGAAGCAGTGAAGGAGAAGCTGTGCTGCCATCAGCCAGGAGCTGGCCTCAGAACCTCAATCTAATCCAATATTACTCCGTGCTGCTGGAAAACACTGAATGGTGAGAAGGAAATAAAAGAAATGCAGCAAAGAACTATAAATAGCCTGGCAAATCAAGCATCAAAACAAAAAACCCAACACCAACATTATCTACACACAGGTAACAAGGTTAGAATTGTCACGTGCCCTGTGCTTAATACTTCTTAAATATATATATATAAAATAATGCCCTAATTCCTTCATAGCTTATCTCCCTAGAAGCAAAGAACTGACAGATCTAGGCATGCTTTGATGCTGTGGGCGTCAAAGTGAAGTTTACTAGCACATAACCATGATGTCAAACAGCACAAAGTTGCTGTTGAAGACTCTAAGGATTGCTTAAGTCCTCTAATGGAAGTGGATATCAGGTAGCACAAGGCCTCTGCCTGCCCTGTCCATACGCACACGTCATCCCATGTCACTGACCACTGCAAAAGGCATACTGTTACACTACAGACTCAACTAATATGGCTGAGATCATTATAAACACTGGCATCCTCCCTCCCTGAACACCCCTTACTGCTCCCAACCAACGTCCTTAGCACATACAGCTTCCTCTGCAACATTTCCCCTTGGATCTCAGTGGGCCTGCCCTTGGGTCTCCCCTGCCCCCTGCTAGGGCATGGCCATCGCTCACCCCAGGGGCAGCAGGTCCTTGTCACATATCAGCCCATAGGAGGGTGATGATGGGAGATACTTGGCTCCTACTGTCTCAAAGAGAAATCTGTTCAATTAAGGTTGCTGAAGAAAAATGGTCACAAACATACCGAAGTAAAGCAAAGGATTTCCTTATTATAAAGAAATAGTATTTAATAATAAAATCCACAAACTATGTGTGTGTTAGCTCAAGAGATTCCCAAGAGTACTTAAAAATTATTTAAAGAATGAGACAGGTGAAGATTATAGAAGCATATTATTCAGCAGTTAAAATCAATGTTGCCAGACTGGTTCAGATGAATTAGTTCAGCAGGGTCTGACCCTGAATATGACCAATTTAAAATGTTTCAGATGAAAACATGATTATCTCCTGTTAAGATTTGAATTGATAGGTCCAAATTAAGCAAGTAAGAAGGCAAAGCATCAATAGGGATTACTGAAGGAGGTCTCAGAGAAGGAGTTTACTTGGGTATTGCAAAATTGTCTCTTCCAAGTACTGGGAAAAAATTCAATTTTTACTTCAATACAATGAAGTCAGCAGTATCTGCAATGAGAGGTGATCCATTTAGCTGGCAGTGGGCACAAGCTCAGGCAGCTTGGCCTTCTGTTTACGCACAGTGCAAACTGCAACCCAATTAAAAGCAACGCTGTGCTTGACAGTTTGATGCCCCTTTTGCAGAAGCCTCAAGTATTCAGTTTCACTCAGAAGTGGCAAACCGTGGGTGCTCTGAAACCAAAATACCACTTACAGAACATTCTAAGCTATGACCTTGCCCACTTATGTGGGTCTGCTATATCATAGCGAAACGGTCAGTCCCAGCTTTCTCCTGACACTCCTGTGAGGGTGCTGAGACACTGACACAGGTTGCCCAGTGATGACGTGAATGCCCCCTCCGACCTCTGAGACAACATAGCTGTCCTGCTTAGATTAATGCTATTTCAAGGAGCACCATTTAAAATAATGTAGGCTAATGGAGGCATTCAAGGCCAGGCTGGATGAGGCTCTGAGCAACCTGGTCTAGAGGGAGGTGTCCCTGCCTATAGCAGGGAGGTGGAACTACATGATCTTAAAGGTCCTTTCCAACCCAAACCATTCCATGATTCTGTGACTCTTTGCTGACCTCATGTGGCTGAAATACACAGCCATCTCCCTTGTGATGTTGTCAGCGACACCAATTAGTAGTGTTTGCTATTTAGGTGAAGCCTTGCTTCAAAAAAACATCCAAAAGCCATTGTGGGATACTGGAATGATGTGGAGGACTGAACAGGATCGTAGTGAAGGGAAAGAAGCTCTAAAGGTTCACTGATCCATGCCGAGAAGGGAATTCTTGCAAAATGGTCTAAAATGGCATTCTTCTCTCATTTCTACCAAAGGTAAATTAGTAAAAAGGCACTTGCATAGATGAATAGGACATAAAGTAAAAAGTACATCCGTACGCCAGCACTCACTATCAGCTCATAGAGTCAGGCATACATTTCACTCTCACTATGGTGAAATACCTTCTTAAAATGGTCCGGGGGGAAAAAGGGGGAGGGCAAACCAAAGCCCACTGTTGTCCACCAAATTCTTTCCATTTCTTTCTTTGAGCTTTGAGTTAGGCCTAAGAGCAGATAGCAAATAGGACACTAAAGAAAGAAAGTCTGAAGAGAATGAAGAACAAGAAAGGAGCGGTGTGGCAGCTGCTACAATAAAATACAAATCCAATATTTTACAAAATAGAATACTTGCAGGAAATAACTACTGTACATAGTAAAAAATTACTTGTAAGGCTAAGTTAGTTTTTCCCTTATTTATCACAAGGGGAAAAAAAATAGAGCTACAAAATTGTTTTGTTGTTTCTTTTTTTAAATTGACTTATGTTAAACTGTAAAATAGCTATGCTAGTCTGCTGAACTAAGATTTTTCACATTAAATTCATCCTCAATGAAGTCTGAGTGCCATTCTGTAGCAATAAGAGCAATCCCAAATCATGCTCAAATCATGAGCTAGAATTGGCTGTGCCAATCCAAGGGCAAATTCCAAGAAGCACAACTCAGGCAAAGGCATGAGAAAGGCAATAGAAGGACAAGTCTTAGGCGACAGCTACATGGGAGAAGAAGGAAACACGGCAAAGTAAAAAATGGACTGGACTAGGATCAGATTTGAATGTGGTTCTTTAGTTCATCCACTACACTTTGGGGCAGTCACTTCACCTCCCTGTGTGCCTGCCTCATTCCTTTTTTGCCTTGCCTGCTGCCTACATACCAACTGCTCAGGTCAGGGACTGCCTTGCTGTATGTTAGTACAGCATCTAACCGCCTCCAGGCCTGAATTGTATGCATTTTATTTGGCTAAACAGTTGATCTAAGATCTCATCTCTGGAAAAGGACACATGAAGAAGAGGAGGCCTATGACTATTTTAAGGCAATTCAAGCTTAGAGGGAAGGAATGGGATGCTCCGTGATATTTGTATGTCCAATTTCAGAGCTTGCCAAGATGACTTGCAGGGTTAGGGGAGGTTAATCCAATATAAGTCCTTGAACAAAATCTTGCAAAGCTAATAAATACTATTTACAACAGTAACAGGAAAATGGCAAAAAAAAAAAAAAAAAAGGAGAACACAACAAGACTTGGTCTACACGAGAAATTCCATCAATGCAACTAGAAGCCAATAAATAAAATCCATACGGTCCTCTCAGGAGGCACTTCTGGTTTAAGACTTAACATTGATTTAGTTTATTGGGAAGGAATTGATCTGAACTAAACAGATTAGCCTTCAGCAGACTAAGGAACATCCACCCAAAACACTGCCTGAAGTTAACAAAACCTGCTTTCTAAACAGAATCAGTTAAATTACTCCATTTGTCCCAGACATTGTGACAAGACAGTGATGGATCTTCGCTTGAATTCCATAAGGGTAGAAGAAGTAGGGATACCTACCACGTTTGCTTCCAGTGCAAACAGAAACCTGTTACACTAAATGACATAGGGGCTGGTGAGGAGAAGAGACAAAGATGTAGGGGAGGATGATTCAGCACCGTCACTGTCCATACCTCTCCTGCCTGTGCTGTTAACAAAATAGTATTGGGGCCCATTCTTGTGCTTTCAAAGGCAGATGAAACATATGCTTCTCACTCCTCCCAAAAAGGCTCAAGTTCTACAGACCAGTGAGCATAGAACCGTGACTAAAGTTGAGCAGCACCACACTGCCTCTCCTATTTCTCTTAATTGCCTTCTCCCAAGAAACCCATCAACCACTTGCTCCCATCAGTTCTGCATATTCCACTCTTCTACCCAATGACTTTATGCACAGATGATGATGTATACATGCAAGCACTGGCACACATACACAGATCGATCATCAGCACACTGCTGGTATCATCTGCAATCATAATTCAACCCTGCCCTTGTATTACCAGACAGGAAAGAAATAAAAGCAAATATAGGGATTGTGTGAAGTAAGGAAGGGAGTCACAAGACAAGAGATTCCATCTGCAGTCACAGTCTCACCAGTCAATGCAGAATTTGGTCAACTCCCTCTTTTGTGCTTTGGTTCACTAAGGATGACAAGTCAGGGGGACTTTGGTTGAAAATATCTGGGAAAGAGGGAAGTCAAGAAAAAAGGCCTTTTTATTTTTAAGAGGTGGCATTGACTCTTCTATCTATTTCAATTATCTTCAGTGTTTCATTTCCTTCAATTTCAGAGTTGACTCTGTAGGGGAAAAAAAAGCAACAACAAAGGTTAACACTAACAGTCATATTTAAAAGTGCACATCCTGCTCAAATTGGCTAATGCAAAAAAAGGCACTCAGCATTTTAACAGGCACTTGTCAGTTGGATATGATAACACACTGAATTAGTCATCTCTTTGGCCCTGGTATAACTCTGATACAAGTGTTCAGAAGGCATTCTTAGGATGACATCACTCAACTTAGACCTCTGAAAAGCACTCCTCTAAACACAATCCAACTGTTTGGTGTGTTTGCTATTGCTTGTTAGCAGAGACCAAGACCTGAGGCAAAGAACGGTGGCAGGACAACTAAAGGTACAGTGGAAGAAAAACCATACTCATATATTTAACCAGTGAATCTTTCTTTGCAGAGGACCCAAATATAAATTCATGATAAAAAAAAAAATTATGAAAGAATTTCATGTTAAGTAGTTCAGATAACCTGACAAGTTTTTTTTTTTTTCTAAGTCAAATCCTGCTAACTTTCCACAGCATGCATTAGTAAGATTGCTGCTGTGGGAAGTTTAAGCTCTTCACACCCTAACTTCTTACAAAGCCCCATGAGTCACAGCCTCACACTTCCACCCAAATGGCAAAAGCTTACTCCTTTAGGGGACGTGCACGTAAGTGCTTAAAGAAGTGGAGGAGGCAAAACTAACAGGCTTATAGGGGCTACCACTGAGTTCAGTAGCTTTGTTACTAGAGTATTATACATACACATTTTCACTTCTCCAAAAGAGGGTGACAGTATCTTTGCCTATAAGCTCCTCAGACAGAGGCCAAACTGTTGCACTGTGCCCAGAACAGCACCATCTTACTGCTGGCCTCCATGACAGAGACTTCAAACACCTGTCTGACTCACAAGCAGTCCACCACGCACTCACCTGTGCTGCTGTAAGCCCAGCAGCACTGATTTCTCTAGCCGTGTCTCGTTGGCTATTGTGAACTCCATGATATCATCCCGCTGCATCACCGGCACAGCTTCCAGAGCTAGCGCCGCATACTTGGTGCTGTCTGCATGCCTGTCGTTTCGATCTGCAGATGAGATCGGGCTCGACGACTCCTCCAGTTGGTGAGGCTCTTCATAAATTAGCAGACTCCGTGACCTCACTGGATGCAAAGACAGAAGGCAAAACCGAGATGAGCAACAGGTTGGGCAAAGAGTGCAGCCCTGATCATCTCAGGAAATCATCAGAGCAGAACTAGAGCTGCAAAGGTCTTTTCATCACAATTAATTGGTGGTTTGATAGCTGTGGGAAGACACTGCAGCAATGGTTCGGTAGGGATCAAAAAAGTTCTGAACTCCTCAGAGAACAAGAGCAAAATGAAGTAATCACTTTAATAATATAGGTTTAATGCTACCGCTTCTTAACTGCTACGTACTACTAAGCTTCCCATTCAGTCCTTAGACACTGAGATAACACTGGCAGAAGAAATAACAGCTGATAGTTGCACTTACTGACAGTAGCAAGGATGTAGCAAGGAGCAGAAATCAAGCTCTCCTGCTACCTTTTACCTTTAAAGACTAGTTCTTTAGTTCCTCAAACAGAAACAGAAAGGCTTCAAACTGAAGTACAAAACAAACTGGGGGGGGAAGGCTTTTCTGATCTTTATTAAGTTCACTGCCATCAGCATAACTTGCCAAGATATCATCTGAAAACCACAAGTATATCAACGTACAGCCACCTGTAGAAGAGCCACAGCAGAAGAGTAAGATGTGCTTGGGGAGGGCTTTGGGGATGTGGGTGAAAATCAAGTGCTGAAGAGCAACTAAACAAGAAACAAGACATTGGTGGTGGTCACTTACCAATGGAGTCTGTGTAGGACTCTGGTGAGGAATGCTGCCTGGGCAACACCATCTTTGTAGCCGAAGGATATGGTCCATAGCTCTGAGAAAAGCTGCCAAAAACAACTGCAAAGCACAGCACCACCATCTGGCACAGGGAAAAAGAGAAAGAGGTTAGGTAATCATGGAGGTTGGAAAAGATCACTAGGATCATCTTGTCCAACCATCAGCCCATCCCCACCATGCCTGCTAAACCAGGTCCCTCAGTGCCACATCTGCATCAAAACAAAAAAGTGACACAAAGCAGATCTGATACATTATCAAAACAAGTGACTTGAGGCTATTTTTGTCACTACCTACAGCACCTCTTAGCAAAGGCACAGATACAAGAACAAATTCTGTGCTTTAATGCTGGAGTTTGTTTTCAGTGTCTGACATCATTTTGGCCTCTTGCCTTATTTCTTCCCAAAGCTGAAAAGCAGACACAACTGGCATGTGTGTTTTACAGATACTGTTGGGAATTTCCAAGGTTACTTCTGCTGCTGGCCCCAGTCTTGCTTGCAAGTGACAGAGAGGCTGGCAGCCAATGAGAACAGCAAAGGCCCTGAATATAATTTCCATCAATTTATAGCACTAGCATAAAGGGAACTTGTTGGCTGGGTGTAAGGAAGGAAGAGCTTCATTCTAACCCTCTTCTTATCCTGACAGACATTACTGAAATAGAGCAGACTTAGATTTACAGCCTTAGTCATATTTTTATTCAGATTTAAAAGTTTATTTTTACTGGTATCTAAAATCTGAAAATCAAAGGGCACTCTCATTTTCATTTTACAGCACTAGACACCATTTCTAACATTAAAAAAAATGTAGGAAATAATAAAACAGGTCACCCAGATGAGCAGAGCTGCTTCCTTTAGCACTGCAGCAGCCCAGCAAAAACACGGGCACGGTCTCCAACAGAATTTAATGCTTTCCCTTCACCAGTCAGAAGTCCCACCTCCCTCAGAATGAACTGTTAAACTATCAAGAGAAATTTCCCAACCTGAGAATTTGTAAGTGAGAGGCTTAGCAGAACAGGAGCTGTGCTTTTGAACAGTGGAAAGAGAACCTCACTCCTCTACAATCCCCAGCTTTAGACAGTACTCACCATAAGACAGGTCCCTGTCTGTGTGCTAGCTGCCTTACATGAACGGGACACCTTCCCAGCAACCATGGCCTGGAGTCTCTGCAGCTGCTGCAGAAGTGTTCTGGAAAGCAAAGACAACAGATGTGAGCATCAGATGTCCAGATCTACTTGTTTTTGCTTCAAATTCTACACCTGGCAATAATACTTTTAGCAGTTACAATAAGATATAGATGACTAAAGTCCTCCCCTTGAAATTAGAAGTAAGGAATGAGTTTAATTTTTACAAAATTCTTGCATGGATTAGCAATGGATCTTTCAAAAAGATCTTTTGCTTTGCCCTCAGCTGACATCCCCGAACAACGACTTCTTTACCTTATTCAGAAAGTTCTTACAAATAAAAAAACTATTTTCAGACTTTCTCTAGGAAATTCTAGTACATGTGTGAACAACAGGGATTGCTCTGTGTGCAAGTGAGTGACTGCTTATACAGCCTCATTCTGTATCATGAATTGAGCAGGAGTTTCACAGTTACTTGAAATGGTGCAAGAGCAATTTCTGATTGCTGTTACTGGTGGTAGAAGTATACTGCTACACCCTTTTTCTGAAAACTCGCTGTACAGTGAATTGGACCTTTTTTAAAGAAAGGGATTTAAAGCACAGACTTGATTTCCCATAAATGCATTTGCTAAATAAAGTACTTCACTGCTATTTGCTAAAGCCTCCAGGAGTTTACAAAACCACAGTGGCTTGAAGCAGCTACTCTGACCGTGCCTTTTAGAGGTAACAACCACAATAGTAATTCTCTTCTGGTTTGAGTCAACAGTTATGGACCAGGAGAGTATTCTTCTGCCTCAATTGCTGATTTTCTTTTGCTATAGCATTACCAATGGCTACAGTCAGGATATTATCATTTAATTGGGAAATGATCCCAAAGAATAACCGGCATTGGGTTTTCACAAGTTTCTGTTTTACTTTCGTTTGAACTTTCTATAACAGAGAAGGAATAACCCAAACACCTGTCCTCGATACAGTCAAATATCATGCAATGTTACATCAAGATGTTGACTTTGCTGTTTCCAGTTCTACTTTTTGCTTCTTATGTAAGGCTCACTATTTCTGAGGGTAACCCCCATAAAACTCCAGGCAACAATTTTGGAGACCATGACGTCAAATACTAGAACAAGAGGCAAGGTTAGGATGTCAGAGAAAATAGAAGGAATATTTTAAGATCAAACTTGCTAAAAGCTAATTGTAGGACAGACCCAGAGGTGCCTTTATGGCTCAATATACACTTGTCTTCCTATTATTATAGACCTTTTTTAATCATCAATGATCATTGCTAATTAGAGTTTAATGTATTCAAGGACTTCAGGATTGCATTTTGAAATGAGCACAAGGCATGCTCACAGCACAGATTTATCTGGGCCAGCAGATCCTTTCCAGCTTATTAAGGAAGGATGTATTGCATGCTCTTGAGAACCCAGTTTATTCTGCAGATCGGTATTAAAAAAAAAGAAATTGATGTGTCTAATTAAGTCCTTCATTCACTGCTATAGACCACAGACAAATTAAGAGATGAAAACAACATCCATCATGTCAATGAGACCATTCTAACACCTTTCTCTTTGCTAACATCTCTTGGAAGTCTCTCCCTCCTACCCACTTCACTGCTCAGGGATCACACAGATTTACATACAGAGGATATCTCATTTTATGGCACAGTACACACCGCATACAGTATTCCCACCATATGCCACGTTACATAGCAATGCTAGCTATGTATTGTCATTTCCGTGCTGTTATGGAAGACTAAATCCCCCCCAAACCATTACAGGCTTGATCAGTGCTGAGCCAGCAGTGTGCCCAGGAGGCCAAGAAGGCCAATGGCATCCTGGTTTGCATCAGAAATGGTGTTGCCAGCAGGAACAGGGAAGTGATTGTCCCCCTGTACTTGGCTCTGGTGAGGCCACACTTCGAGTACTGTGCCCAGTTTTGGGCCCCTCACTGCAAGAAAGACATTGAGGCCCTGGAACGTGTTCAAAGAAGGGCAACAAGGCTGGTGAGGGGTCTGGAACACAGGCCATATGAGGAGCAGCTGAAGGAGCTGGGAATGTTCAGTCTGGAGGAGGCTCAGGGGAGACCTCATTGCTCTCTATAACTACCTGAAGGGAGGTTGTAGTGAGCTGGGGCTCATTGTCTTCTCTCATGTAACCAGGGATAGAACTAGAGGGAATGGCTTCAAGCTGCACCAGGGGAGATTTAGGCTGGACATTAGGAAATACTGCTTCTCTGAAAGAGTGGTCAGGTGCTGGAATGGGCTGCACAGGGAGGTGGTGGAGTCACCGACCCTGGATGTGTTCAAGGAATGTTGGGATGTTGTATTTGAGGGACATAGTTTAGTGAGAACTATTGTGATAGGTGGATGGTTGGACTGGATGATCTTGTAGGTCTTTTCCAACGTTGGTGTTTCTGTGATTCTGCGATCATTGGGTTTGACAGAGAAGAGCTGTGTGGCATGAGAAGGAAGGAGCTCCCTCCTCGGCTTGGGGGCTGCAAACTTGAAAAGTTCATCACTCTCGCCACTTTTTGTGGAGTCATAAGGAAGAAAACAGCTAATGGATGGTGAGAATATCAATAGAGAGAACATGTAATTTTGCTCATCTCTGCTATTTTGAGTCCTATTAAAAAGTCCTGTTGGGAAGAGTGGACCCAGAGCACTGATTCCAAAAGGTTCATTTTGAAAAACATAATTTTGCAGGTATTCATAGAAGATACATCTCTCACCTTTCTGACCAACTACATTCACATAAAATGTTTTTCTCTGCCAAGTTGCTTGAACAGAGCTTCTGTGATCTTCTCAGCAGACACAGGCTCAGTGGTTGGAGATGACAGGCTACAGGGGCATTTTTCAAACTAGTAGCAAAAGCTGATGTGAGAGCAAGAAGCAAGTTTATTTGCTCAGATATTTATTATATGATGGCAGTTTACACTGCCATCATCAAAATGAGAGCATTCTTTTTCTATATGAAGAGGAAATTCTGGAAGATTGGATTCCAAGGTGAAGAGTTCTTTCCCACACACAAGCTGCTCTCATTGCTACTGGATGACTGCAGGAATGATCTGGACTAAGAAGAGAAGGTAAGGAACAGTCCTCTGGAGCAGTTCTCTGCTCTGAAGAACAGTATCAGTAGAAAGACCAAGATGCTCTTATTGAAACACACTGCCAGTGGCTAAATCCTAGCAAGAGAAAATGCAATCCCAAAGCAGCATGCATAAGGGGCTTTGTACCTACAGGGATTATTTTCACTATGTCTGACACATTTCCCAATGATATTCAATTAGAGGGTCACTTCCCCAGGAGGTGTGAACGTGCTTTCACGCTTTTCCCTGCCAAGAGAAGCACCTCATAGGAAAGCTGTAAAATAACTGAAGACTCCTGCTTTCTTTTCCAGCACTCCCGGCAAATCCACTCTGCCCATGATGTCTTATTTTCATGTGTGCATTCACAAAATCCTCTCTAAAAGGACACTTTTCACTACCAGAATAAGGAACAAGTCAAGGCTTCCCCTTTGCTTCCAGTGATGTTTTCAGTCAGCAGAGAAAATTTGTCACCACAGGACCTAGTCACCTGGAAGGCTTCCTCAATATAGTATTCCTCAAAGCAGTATTTTGAGGAAAAAAACTTAACTTTGATTTTAAAAGGAGAAAAAATGTTCTCTTTTCTTTCAGCTTTACACATAATTACTCCTCTGCCTGTCCTATAAAGGTAAGGTTCTCGTCGCAAAATCACAGTACTCCAAAGCAAAACAAATAAATCCACTAATTTTCTCACTTGCATTATAAACATGAAAACCCACTATTTTTTTCATCAGACACTTCAGCATAAAAACATTGTCCTGATGCTTGAGAAACAATAAGTTGCTCCAGAGCTGCCAACCTTGGTCAGCTGTTATGAAGGTGGTATGAAGTGCAAGATGTCTCATCGTAACTTAAATCCAGATCCTTCTCTTCTTGAAGAAGACTTGTCAAATAGGCTTATCAGCTTCAAACGAAGGAACAGCCATGTGAACCAGTGAAGTCTGGCAGTTTTGGTGCTGATAAACCCTTGTGGATCAGACTGATACAATATTCAGTCTGACTGGGAGTTACAACAACGGCTTAAGCAGGAACAGAAACACTGCAAAAACATGCCAATTGTATTTATAAAGCCACTGCCTTTGAGATACTTGTCAGAGTGGATATCTGCACAACTTACTAGTCATTACTTCACCAGAGCAACTCTAGCAGCTACCTGCATGCATTATTCATGCGTTTCAACAATATTTACACTCTCAATCACATGCTAATTCCTATTTTTACCTATTTCTTCCTACCAAAAGAAAAGTGGCCATCGATATATTTATAACTACAGATTTAATAGAAGTGAAAAACAAAGGTACTTCTCATACATCACACACACAGTACCTGGTGTTTCAATACTGTCTTTAGCCCAAATAGTCATTGCTCCCAGCTGGACAACACTGGTGTCATAGAGCACAATCAAAACCTAGACTAATGGCAGTTTCTGTGAAGTCCCAGTGTCACCAGATGAATGGATCAAGCCTTCTTGGCAAGGGAGACAAGTCAGTTCAAGTCTTGATGCCAGCTTTTTTTCACACCCTTCTAAGACAGCAGTGCCCCAAAGCCAATGAGATCCTGACTCACTTGTGGCTACAAGACATAACAAACACACATGTAATAATGTGTTCCCGTAGTTTTGTGAAAACTCCTTAGGAAGGAACTTGGATGGATTTCTTGTAAGAGACTGAGTCACTTAAATTAGGAGAGGAAACATATGCTAGTGTTCTAATCCTGAAGAAGCCAAAAATGTTGCAGACACCCACTCACATTAATGAGAATTAAAAACTCCCCTGCATCTTGATCCCCAGACTCCTGCCTTCCTTTTAAGATATATGAAAGGCAAAGAAGATACTTTTGGATGCAATTTTTTTGGACCACATTTGCACCTTTTACATCAAATCTTTTCAGATCCAGAATTTCAGGCTAAGGCAGTCTCTCAGGGAAGGTTCTTCTAAAATTTTTCATGTTACTCTTTTAGCAGAAGAAATTGCAGTGCTTCCATGGTTTGGAGCCAGACTTCAAAATGTAAGTAGGGTTTCCCTGAAGTCCTAGGTATGTATCTGTGCAAAATTTGTTCTATATATAGAATAACAACATGCTCTGAAATACTGGTTACAGATACAGAAGGAAAACTCTGCTGTTTAATAGTTGCATATTTAGGGCATTGCCTGTCAGTTCCTCTCAGCTCCAGCCAGACTATAAGAACACAACACTGACTGCACACACATGTGCATAAACTTTTAAGTGAGCAGTTACAGCCCAATTTTCCAACATTAAAAAAAAAAAACAAAAAACAGTACAACAACTTTGGCTTCATCCACACTGAATGTATGAGCATTTCCATATGTAATCAGTGTTATTTTCTTGTTATCTTTCTCAAGTCTTCCAATTTTCTGCAAATAAAAAGCAGCTATAATGCTTGTAGATCTACTTTTAAATGAAGCCTTAAAAGAACTCTTCATTTTTTTTACTGCATTAAATGCTCAAAGCTGCAGCTGAAGTCAACCGGGTCCATGCTTCGGGCATATTAAATAAGTTATATGTGTGCATGACTGTGTGCTAGGAACTTAGAAAAACAAGGTCCTAAGTGTTTAAATTTGAGCATCCAAGAATAAACTGACACAGCACAATGTGACCTTCACTTCTTCACGAGCTTTGATCCCTGCCTAAGTACGAGATGGAAGCACCAGTCACAGGATGCTGAAGCATTTGCATAGCTTCTGAATGACACATCAATGCTCTGTACCAATGAGGAAACCAGTCATTTTGAATTCACTGTAGAAAGCAACTGACACACATCAAAAAAGGGTCTGGAACCATTCTCTGAACAAGTTAACACAGCCACAAAATAAACCAGAGAAAGTGGCTCTTTGGGGTGAGATCTTCAAAGCAAAACAAACCAATCCAAACAAAAACAAAACAAAACACCACAATTTGGTGTTACATAATTCAGGTTTGATGAAAGCAGGAACTTCAACAAATTTTTCAGTACTCAAATTTGCAGCCTTAGCAGTTTTTAGGTACAGTTTGTATCTAAATACCCAAACCAGCATCACCGTGAGATACAAGAATTTTTGTGCACAGAGTCAGGAACAACTGCTTCTCTGCAGGACACCGCAGATTACTATCGGTGCTCTTGCATAGGAAAGTAAACGATATAACTCATTGCATACATTCTGAGTATGAGGGATAATATCACACAGACAGCTAAATAATTTTAAAGCAGTTAGCATTAGGCTATGAAGATAATAAAATAACAAAGAAGATGCTAAAGGCCCTGCCTAAAAAACTGAGAAATATTAACAGAGCAGTTCTCATGACTGTATCTTCACCTGCTCAAGAGATGTAAAAAGTTGACCAAATTTAGCCAAACTGAGGAGAAAATTTAAGGCTTGAGAGCAGGTTTTCCCCGAGTGGTCATTCACAGCTGCATTCTTCCTTATAGCAGCTGGTTTCAGTACCTCTTGGAACAGATTCTGAGAGAGACAACTCTACTCAACACCTACAGAACAACTCCTAGCTCTTTTACATAAAACCCTGCAGGAAGATACAGGAGGGACAGAAATGGATTGGCTCCCTTCAAACAAGCAGCAGATGTCTGTATGCATGAGCAGTGTGTGGGAGACACTCTCTAGCAAATTACAGTGCTAGAGGGTCTCGCTCCATGAAATTAGAGATCGGATCCAGAGATTAGAAACAACACACGCCACTCAATTAGCAATACATTGGCTGCCAGATAACCTTTAGGGCCATTTTTCATGACTGTTGGTCTTACCTATAAAATCCAGCTTTCTCCCACACTTCACTGCTACCATCATGTTTAGTGGCTGTATGCGACCATCATTTCAAATGCCTCTAAGCAAAAGGTATTAACAGTGGGCTCATCTAGTACCTACTCATTGGAATTTGTGTTCATTGGAGAACACACTGAGCACAAGCCATGACTAACACTCCACTCTTGGCTAATATCCAATTCAAAGCTCAGCTATAGATAATTTTCTGCTATGCATCTTTTGAAAAAGTTACCACTGAGACACCACTTTCTTCAGAAATGAAGAAATGAGAAACTGATTATCCTTACAAAGGAAGTTGTATTTCCTAAAGTGAAAGATATTAATGGCGTGTCAGATGATCAGAACAGCGTTCAACAATTGCAGTAATATCTAACAGTCCAGAATAAACTAACATTGACTCAGAGCAACTAAGCAACTAAGGTCTCAAAGTGTCATGTTCCAGGTCAAGGCCTTCTGTCAAGGCAGACTTTCACTGACAAAGGACAATTTGGAGAGTTGCACTTTTTTGTTTGTTATCAGTAACCATGTTTCCTTGTGTAAAAGAAGAACACAAAGAAGAGTAATAAAAGGGAAACACACCACAGGCTAGGAAGACAGTTTAAGAGCTGACATCAAAGCCCCTATATCTTACATCTCACTGCACAGTCACAATAACCACTCTCCATCATCTTTCTTTGATATTAACCAGATCAGATACAGCTATTCTTCACATTTCAACTGATGTCTTAATTTCTGGATTTAACTTTTTTACTGTCATGCTCATCTAATTTTTATTTTTTTTTCTATTCCCTTCATACTGTACCTGTTAGTACTTTCCAGGACTTCAACCTTCTTACGTAGCTCGCTGTTTTCATTTGAACAGTTCTCAACTCTGGAGACAACACAAGGAAAGATTAATAAATGTCTGTTTTTTACATTCAAAAACTTGTAAAACAACCCAAATCCACTTTCACAGCGAGCTCTATGATTTTTCCTACACCTAATGAAAAAGCTACGCCAACTAAATTCAGTCGTAATATTCAATCCTGCTTCATGGTGTTGCAGGCACTGCAATAGATACTACTAGCTATAGAACATTTGTCTATGCTGGTCAACTATACCCCACTAGGTCCAGTTTATTCAGGGTGGTCTGTAACGACTTTTTATTCCTTGAAATAGCAATAAGGAAGACCCTGCTATGACTTTCTCTGTGCATCAGACCACAAGACAGATACTTTAAATGTTACTGAATATGCTCTGATTATGTTGTTAGCAATTACTTTGTGCAAGAGTGTTCTATGTGTGCATTTCATTGTTAGGTACCACACTAAGTAATTCAACAAATGCCATGCTTCTGAAATCACATCCTTGACTTTCATGCTTACAGAGGCTAATAAGCCAGATTTATTTCCAAGAGAACACTCGTTTCTTCACTGTTCCAGGAAACCCACCTAAACTAAAGGATATTATCATATGACCTGCTACACAAGAAGTTAAAATAAAAATATGGAACTACTGTAAGACACGTATGACCACCTTGAGTAGCTATGTAAGGAAAAAGGGAAAGGGAAATGCTTTCCAATCTGCACAAATATGCTAGAATTTCACACGAGTCTGACTCTGAGAAACCAAGGCTCATCCATAAAGACATTTGAACAAAAAGAAATTACCTTGAGGGTATCACAAAAAATCATGCATGGGTTTTAGCAGATCCATCTGGTGAAGTGCATAAGAAAAATACCAAACACTTCTTTCTTACAAGAAAGATTAAACCGGGATATAAATCACTAACCTCAGTTAGTGATTTATAGTGATTTAAGGATTGGCCTTTTCCTGCTAAAGGAAGGCAATTGGTCACATGTTCTTTCTCCGAGCCCTGCTTATTCTCCCAGGAAGTCTTGGCTCACTTACTTCCTATTTCTGTCTACATCTGTACCAGAAGATAGACTATATTCACCCTAACCCTACTTTTCCATGGGCAATGCCTATCCACTAGACTAGCACATTTGCCCAAGTGGAAGGCTAATAGTAGATAGGTCTTGTCTTCCTTGAGGTTTAAGGTCTCTGCCAGCACATTAGCTTTGTGTTGGTGGCAGGCATAGCCATCAACATGCACCACTTTGTACGCAGCATCTCAGCAAAAGTACAAGCAGACTAAAGAAGGGCCTTTTCTCAGTCACAACCACGAGATGGCAGCTGGAACTTTTGCACAAAACAGTCCCAGCATCAACAGTCCCAGCATGGATCCCGTCCCATTTCAGCAAACAGTGCTATTGGCCCATTTGAAACAGGAAGGGGGCTGGCTTACTTTTTTTCCAGGCTGTCCATGTATTCTTTCTTTTTTCTTCTACTTTCCTGGGCAGAGATCTAAGGAAAAGGGAAGCAAAACACCAAATATTTGAAAAGAAAAAAAAAAAAAAAGCAGCAAAGATGAATTAATAAACTAGTAAAAAGGCCTGACATTATTAGATTCAAGCCTCAGTGCTGTTCTCATTCCTATTCTTGGCAAGCAAGGCACTGTCTTGGTCCATTTCCACATCCTGAAGCAAGACAGCTCCTCTCAGTAGTACAAAAAGATCACTCGCTGCTCTTAGAAAATTAACCTTAAAAAGCAAATCAGATTCATCTGCAGAGAATATCCTAGCACAAATACTAAAAGACGATGCCAGGAAAAAGTCTTGCTTCTGGTCAAAGAAAAACCCATGCATACGTTGGAAAGCAGTTTTGCAGAAAAAGACTTGGGGATTCTGATAGACAATAGTGAAACATAAGTCAGCAATACGCCCCCATAAAAAAGAACGTCAACCAGAGCTGAGCTATGTTACAAGAGTGTAGCCAGTAGATTATGAGAAGTATCTCTTCCCATCTACTCAGCACCTGCAAGACCACAGTTGAGAACTACATGAAGTTTGGGACCTTGAAATAAATACTTCAGACATATTGAAGCAAGTCCAGAGGATAGCCTCTGCTACAATAACTATGCTGGAGCACATGGTGTATCAACAGAGGCAAAGAAATCCGGGTTTGTTTAGATTTTAAAAGATAAAGGTAAGGAGGGAATCCTATTGCTGCAGCAAAGATTAAGTCAACCTTCTCAGAGGTATACAGCAAAATGACAAGAACATTAAATACAAGTTGCAACAAAGGAAATTCCAATTAAACATTAGGATTGTATTTTATTTTTTATCCAGAAAAGCAGCCTCATATGGATCAGGTTGCCTAGAGAAGCTGGGGACCCATCACTCGAACAACAAAACATGACTGGACAAGCTTAGTAACTCGATCTAAGCTTACTCTGCCTTCAGAGCAGGGAGTTCAACCAGAAGGCCTCTAGCAATTTCCCCCAGTACGAATGTCTCTAATAACGTCCATGACAAAACGTGCAAGGAAACTTTACAATTTTTGGGGGGGGGAAAAAAAAAAAAAATTAGACCACATTTCAATTCAGTGTGGGCAACTTTACAAAACCAGTAACAGAATGCATCAGCCTTCAAAGCTGTGCTAATATTCTCCAGAATGAGTGAGTTGGCTAAGTCTGAAAAAATGCTTCCCTCCACTAACTCTTTGCCATTTGGGGAGAAAGAGAAGACTTGCAGGGCTTTTCGCAGCCTTGTTGTCAACTATTCATTTAAAAGTCAAGGTCTGATTCTGTGATCAGAAGACTAGGGCAAGGAAATACAAAGTCAGACTTTAAAACATGAAACTATGGAAAAGAACACCTTAAACACTATGGAAAGAACACGCAAGTCTTTGCCTATCCATAAGGGAAAGGATCAAACAGTTTTTAAAATGGAGGCAGGCAACAGCAACTTGATACCCTGCTTGCTAAATACCCCATTGTTTAAGTGTTCAGGTAAATACCTAGACAGAGGCACTGTCACAGTGTGATGGATGTGTTTAGGAACAGAGAAAAATACTTTGTTAAAAGACATCTTACAGCATTCAGCAGTACTAGGGGTCATTGCTACTGAAACACTGCAACATTTTTAAATGAAGGCTGAGTAGGAATTACCCAGCAAAGATGCTAAATGAACATTATTTACCTTGTTCTTTATTTTTCTGCGGATTTTCTTCAGCACCTTCTCCTCTGCTTTTGTCAGGGGCAGTTTGGTAGGGATTGGGTACCCCTCTGCTATCAGTGTCCTCTTCTCCTCCTCTGTCAGGATGAGTGGGCCAGTCCCCTGCAATTTCTGCAAGTCACAGAATGAAGAAATGTAACACAGTGCACACAGCCCCAGAGAAAAGGTGTTAGGGAACAGAGTCTCTGCACACTAACTCAGCAGTCTCTTGCAACTGGAAGGAATGGAGGGTAAAGACCGTTTACATAGCTTCCATTTAGAGACTGAGATGCTTTCAGCCCAGCTCTGAACATACTGAGGCCACCAGTAAAGCTTCTCTTGGCTCAAGCAGGGAAAGAGACAAATGAGAAGCAGTGCTGAAAATCCCTCCCTAAAAATCACCACTTGATTTCCAAGACATAGCAACAAGAGGACAGATGTAGATGTATTAGGGACAAATTAACCCAGTAGGGCTGGGTCCTAATGTAAAACACAATCCAGACTGGAAGAAACCTCATAAATGTGCTCAACCCTGCCTCAGTTAGAGAAGCACACGTCATTCCCTGTGGGAACAGGAGAGACAAATGAACAAGAATTACTGGATATGCAGTTTTGATCAGAGCTGGGTTCATTCAAAGAACAACAGAAATTAGCAAATGTATGGCAAAAACAGTAATTTAAAAGCAAAAAAAGCAAAACAAACAAAAACACACACAAAAAAAAAACCACAGAAAAAACAACTGACGTTAAAAAAAAAACAAAACAGCTCAACTTACATGTGGTGCAGTCAGGAGAGGGGAATTGGAGAGTGCTGAAGCTGTGCGTGATGCCACTTTAGCTGCGGCTTGCAGCTGAATTGGGCTTGAAGGAGGGAGAGATCTAGCTGGGCTCTGCCCTCCCTCAGAGTCACTGCCGTGACTGCTGGGAGGGGTTGGAGGCAAATGCAGGGGATCAACTGCTGCATGGCAAGAGAGAAATACAACAACGTAAGGGTTGGAGTGCTAACATAAGCCTTCACCAGAGCCATTGATTCAGTCACCACCCAGTTTCCAGGACTTGGACCCTTTGCTAAATGATGGATCGAGCAAATGTGGCAATTTGGAAGACCTTCAGAGCATGCAGGCCTCTAAAGGAGGAATGAAACACAGCAGCTATCTTTAGGTCCAACTGACAAAACAAGGCTATGCTCATCTGCTCCAGTCATTTCTGCCTACACTTCCACACCTCCAAAAGCCTTGAGATTTAAGTATTAGCCTCCAGCATCAATACCCTGCTTCGGAAACCACATTAACAGAGAGGGCTCTGAGCCGGCATGCCTTCTCTCCAAAAACAACAGTCTTTCCCAGCCTTGCTATGGATTTAACACATTGCCAGTACTTTTCAAGAGAAGATAATGTTCATATAATATGTTAAGGAAAGAGAAATTCTATCCCCTAAGGGTCTGCTCTGACACAACTGGTTGGTAATGACAACCTCCTGACAGTGAAGGCTTTATTGAACCAGGAGCAGCAAAAGCAGCAACCCCAGGAATCTCTCTCAACATTTTGCTATCCACAGCCATAAGCAAACCTGCACTGCTCTGGCAGTCAAGAGAACCTGTGCTACAACTGGCAAGCTGACCAAATGGGACAGGATCAAGAGAAAGAGCACAATGTCTCAGCCACTCAGATTACATGAGCAACTAACTATGGCTGTTTTGGACATCCGTTTTTTGTGGGGTGTTTTGTTTTGTTTTGTTTTAAGTAAATTTATAGCAATTACAGTTAGAAGATAGAGGACTGGATTCTTCTAGGTTTTACAAATTTGAGTTGAAAAAATCAAGTGGTGGAGGATGAAGGGAGAAAAAGTAACAGAAGTCATTATACACGAGCTCTTGTGGGCTAGCATCTTAACTCTAGCAGTTGCTTTCTCCTGTAAGACAATAAGTTCCTTAAGCTCACAAATCAAGCAATTTCATCTACATTTTAGGTTAAGATATAAACTCCCTTTGTCCTAGCTGCTAAGCCAGTTGCATCCCTTCCTAGAGCAGTTCTATTTATCTACATAAATTAATTCACTAACAGAATATCAAGCGTTCCTAACTGAGATGCAGTTATCTTCTTAAATTTCAGTATTTGGCTCTTTCAAACTTTTCTTAGGTCAATAGATTATGTGCCATAAAGCTGTGTTTTACACTAAGTGAAGGGATCATCACTCTTCCTACTGCTTAATTTATATAGTACAAAGGGACCCTGGTGGTTCTCAGACCTGAACTGAAACAAATGTTCAAATGTTCAAATGCTTCTAACTTAATTTAATATAAACTCACATGCTTTCTTTTGCAGCTCAAGGCAAAGAGATTTAAATTAGTGAAGTTTTCTCTTGTACTTGTTTTGTATGCCTTGTTAAGTCCCATCTTAGGCTAGAAGAGAAATCTTCTTTTCTAAGATCTCTTCTAACCTAAATAATCTTGTTACGTTAAGGATTCAAGCTCCCTCCAGCAACTGTGTAATTGTTAACATGTCACAAACAAAATAGGGATAATTTTTTTTGTGATGAGCAAAACAAAAACAAATTTAAAAAAAATCCACATAAATAGGTCAGAAAGATTGGCTCTTTAGCAGTCTGATTCAAATCCCTGGAAGGCATCAGCTTCAGCATAAGGATTAACATGGCAAACAAGGAAGCCAAATATTTAATCAGGGTAAAGTACACTCATCGTGCATTCTGGTCATTTCCCTTGCATACTAGATAGACAATTAACAGACCTTCCTTAGAAGAGAGATTCAGAAACTGATCCACTTCATGAGGCTCCAATTTAATCTCTGGAAGAGCTTTCTGGCTCAGTGGTTTCATCTAGAAAAGAGAAATTAAGAGCATGAAAACCCAAAGCACACATCTTCAGATCTTAATTGAAGGATACAAGGATGAATACTCCATAAATGGAGAGATTTCCCTTTCCTACACTGCTGCAGGCAAAGCTTTAACTGCTTCACACAGTTCTGCTTAGCCAGGCTACAGAAAACGCTGCCCAGCCAGGCTACAGAAAATGTTGCCCTGTCTATTCCTGCTGTGGCGTTTTTTATTACTGTATTTAGTTAAATAAAAGACTATGCCTCAGAGATGACATCTCAGACTGAAAGCTAGCAAGCAACCCACTCAAATTACTTCTCATAGCAACAGAGCTGCTACTAGGATCTGTTGGACTACACAGCCAGTTTGAGCAGTCAGCAATGCTCCTGGCAGCAGGCAGAACCCATTTGAAACCACTGTCATCTAGGAGTGAGATGCTGAGCACTGTGTTATTGACCCCAAGTTCATTTCACCATGCAGAGGAACTGTAATAGAGATGGCTGTGGCTGAATTATATTTAGAGGACATCTGACTTGCTTGTTGACAAGGCTGGCTCACCAGGCTGCCAAACTGCTGTCCAGTCTGCCTGAATTCTACAATCCTAGGTTTAAGGAAGTCAGTCTGGCACCTCAACATGCTCAATGTGGCCAAAATCTCTCCCAGAAAAACAATGTAATTAATTTGTGCAATAGTAGTGAGCCACCAGTTAGTTCCTCCACTGAAGGGGAACCATCAGCTGCTGCCATTCAAACTCCTGAATTCAATCACAGTCAAACTAAGCCCTCATGAATGCCCCCTGGCTGCTCCAGGTATGGGAGAAGGGCATCATAAATTGTTCTTACTCGGCAAGTTGGTATGGAAGCAGCAGCACCTCAAAGTGTCAGAGCTTGACAGACCTGGCAAAAAGTGATTTAGCAGGCAAAAAGGAAAACTCTTCAGTCACGGGGTCTCATTCTGATTAGGGGAAGACACAGCAGTGCTAAGGCAAGTCATTATGGAACTCCTAGCTTGTTACAGACTCCACAGTACAAATGAGTCACTTCAGCTGTGCCCGGTTCACTTGAGACTGTTTAAATAATTTTTAAAAGCATCAGCTCCAGGCGTTTGCATTGTCTGTCATAAAAGAAAACTGCATCCAGCCAGTAAGACATAAAGATGCATATATGAGTTTTGAAACACAAACTCTACAGCAGTAGTGGGATACCAGCAAGCATTAGAAAATGTTAAAGCAGAGACCTTGATGAGAAACCTGAATGACCTCTTTGGCACAGAGGAGGCAGTGTTCTAGGAGAATCTATATCTAATTGCACAAAGAGAAGAAGAGAAAGTCTGCAAGTACCAGGACATCAGTATGCAGCTCAGCTTGTTCCCCATCCAGCGACATGGCAGTGACAGTGAGACTGACAGAGGGAGCAAGGCCTGACGTCTCGCACAACGCTGGCTCAGTCTTTATTGCTGCTGGAGTCAGTTCTGAACCCAGACACCAGTCCTCATTTTCCAGGTCACCTGCCAGGGAAGGAAATTGGATACCACATGTTTAGGTCAGGGACAGAGAGACTACAAATGAAAATAATGTCATCCCTCCTCCAGAGAAGGGAAACAAACACAGAAGACATTTCAGTCCATCAACACCACTCTGCCCTTCCTATTCACCTCTCAGTCAATGCAGACAACTGTGCTGTTTTGGGGCTGTAACCTAATCCTAGCCCCAGGATACACAGAGGAGCAGTGCAGAAAGACACAGAGCACTAATCGCTGCATACTGCCAAAAGCTGCTAGCACCTAGCAAAACAAGATTAAACAAGTGTTGGGTAGAGCAGCCAGGGAGCCATGTCCTACACACCTAACTTAAGTTGACTCCATTTTATTCATTCTTGTAGAAGTACTGCTTAGCCAGCCTTCTGCTCCTTCTGCTGCCCGCAGTCATCACATACCTGGAGCAGTGATATTACACTTCTAAGAACAAAAGATTTTTCACTCTTTCAAATTCAAGACTTTTTCCCTAAGGATTCATTTAGTAAGTATAAAAGGGGACAATGGCTTTGATGATTTCACAGGAGAACAGTACCATGGTGATCACGCTAATTTCCTCCCCAGAGCGTTTGGGAGACACAGCACAGAATGCAGATTTAGACTGGCAGCAATGAAATGTGCATCACATGTTGGCAGAACTGGCTGCAGAGACCAACTTCTTAAAAAGAAAGCTTACTTCCATCTTTCACTGAACAAAGCCAAAGGGTTTGCCTTGAATTGTCAAGAACTGGAAGGAGGTTGGTATGGTAAGTTGCTTGCTTCCCACTTGTATTCCTGGAAGCCACTTTGAAGAGAGATGTAGATATATTTTTGGCAAAATTGCAATTCTACCTTCAAAAAATCCTATTCCTAGAGCTAAAGTTCCGTAAAAGGTCTTCTTTCCTCTTGGAGAAGACTACTCCTCACTGCTGCACCATAGCACAGTCCGCTGCCATAACTTGCCAGCAGCTGCAAGGGTCATAATCCATAAATCAAGCAGTTGGATTGCAAGGACAAACATACATAAAGGAAAAGGGTGTTGATCTCTCTTTCAAAGCCCTCCCTGCTTTTATATTCAGCATTTGTTGCATATATGGAATTAAAGCAGCAAGCAAGCACGTACACATAGAGAAGTACAGTTAGGACATGGCAACACAGTTTTGAACTAACTGGACGCAGCATCAACTGCTAGGAGTTTTTCAGGGCACTGTGGCTATGCCACCAACAGTCTGTGAGGCTGATATAAGGCCTCTACACATTGAGCTGGTGGGATGTCACCAGCTGCAGGCAGGTAACAAAAATAAGACGGTCTGAGAGCCTCTGTGTTTGTCTCAGCTACTATTAAGACCACACAGGCATCTGGCACACAGGCGCTTGGTGGGGGCTGAGCGACTGCAAGAAGGGAGAAGAATGCACGTGGCCAGTGCTAGTCATTACTTTGTGGTGGACCTCACCTCCACCATTGGCAAGGAAAGAGGTAATTTGAGAAAAGACACACCAAGGAATTAAAACTGAAAATATGTATCCTGTAATCAGATGCTCTAGAACAGCAAGCCAAACTCCGCCAAGAAAGTGAATGGTAAGGCAAGGGCTAAACACTGTACTCAAATTGCTTGAAGTGCTTAGTCCCAAAGCTTTCCAGGAAACACAGAACAATGAAAATGGAAGTATTTATGAAAAGAAAAACAAACTAACAAAACAACAACAACAAACAAAAAAACAGGTAGCATTAGCGTTGTCTAAATATTAACTTGGGAGAGGGGACACTGCTCTTTCTGCACTCTGTCTGCATGTCTCATAAACACAAGAATGTCATTCCATAGAATCACAGAATCAGAAGAGTTGCAAAAGACCTCTAAGATCACCTAGTCCAACCATCCACCAACCTCCAGTATTTCCAGACTAAACCATGTCTCTTAGTACAACATCTAAACGTTTCTTGAACACCTCCGGGGATAGTGACTTCACCACCTCTCTCCAATTCTGGAGAAAAAATTGTTCCTAATATCCAACCTGAACTTCCCCAAGCACAGCTGTTCCCCCTTGTCCTATCACTAGTTACATGGGAGAAGATGTTGACCCCCACCTTGCCACAACCTCCTTTCAGGCTGTAGGGAGTGATGAGGTCTTCACTGAGCCTCCTCTTCTTCAGACTGAACAAACTCAGTTCACCCAGCTGCTTAGCACAAGACTTGTGCTCCAGACCCCTCACAGCTTTATTGCTCTTCTCTGGACACCTTGTAGCGAGGGGCCCAAAACTGAACACAGTACTCCAGGTGTGTCCTGAACAGAGCTGAGTACAAAGGGATGATCATTTTGCTGCTTCTGCTGGCAACACTATTTCTGATACAAGCCAGGATGCCATCAGCCCTCTTGGTCACCTGGGCACAGTGCTGGCCCACATTCAGCTAAGCATCAACCAACACCCCCAGGTACATTTCTTCCAGCCATTCTGCCCCAAGCCTATACCATTGCCTGGGGTAGTGTCCAAAGTGTGGGACCTGGCAATTGGTCACATTAACTTCATCCCACTGTCCTCAGCCCAGCTATCCAGCCTGTGCAGATCCCTCTGTAGGGCCTTCCTACCCTCAGGCAGATCCACATTTGCACCCAACTTGATGTCATCTGCAAAATTACTGAGGGTGCACTCAATTCCCTTGTCCAGGTCATCAACAAAAATACTAAATAGGACAGGCCCCAGTACCAACCCCTGGGGAACACCACTCCTGATGGATTGCCAGCTGTATTTAAATGTTTAAATGTTTTCACCTCCACCCTGCGCCCAGCCCTTCTGCCAGTTCTTTATCTAGCAAAGAGTGTACCTGTTCAAGCCACAGGCTGTCAGCTTTTCTAGGAGAACACCGTGGGAGATGGTGTCGAAGCCTTTGCTGAAGTCTAGGTAGACTGTGTTGACAGCCTTTCCCTAATCCATCCAGAGGGTCACTTGATCATAGAAGATCAGGCTGGTTAAACAGGACCTGCCTTTCATGAACCCATGCTGGCTGGGCCTGATCCCTGGTTGACCTACACATGCCATGTGATCTCACTCAAGATGATCTGTTCCATAACCTCCTCTGGCACCAAGATCAAGCCAATGGGCCTGTAGTTCCCCAGATCCTCCTTACACACTTTTTTGTAGATGGGAGTCATACTGGAAAACCTCCAGTCCTCTGGAGGACCAGGAACACTGATAGAAAGCAGAAAAGTGGCTTGGCTGTCTCCGCTGCCAGCTCTCTGAGCACCCTCAGGTGGAGTAGTAGGTCTCTAACTGTTTCCATCTGAATTGTAGGGGGTTTGTTCTGCTCCCCATACCAAGCTTCCTGGTCAGGGGGTAGACTACCCCAAGGATAACTGATCTGACTTTTAAAGTCAGATGTAAAGAAGCCACTGAGAACCTCAGCTTTTTCCTTATCCTTAGTGCCATTCTGCTGACAGCAATCACTGGTCAGTGGGTGAGTGGACCCCACCCTATTTGCCCTGTGTGGACCATTCAGATAGAACACCAGAGTGGTAGCTTTGCCTGGAAATCCATTATCCCTTGGTAAATGCAACTTTCAAACGTTTCTTTGGATAACTTCTTCCAAAGCCTCCCCAGTAGGGTGCTATGCACTTGCTGTCTCTCTCACCTCTGGTTCAAGCTGCACTGTGGCAGTGCTAGCAGTTGCAAGCTACTTTAGACTCCCTGTGGGAGAGAACGTTATGTATAAATGAGAGTTATCAGTGAACCATCTAATTAGCCCTGCACTTTGAGATTTGTGTTACCATGCAAGTGGAAGAGTAGCCTAGCCGTGGGTGCCCAGGGAAACAGGGCACAGCCTGTAAGACTTTGCTTTGTGATCTTTATCATTTCTAATCCCTGGATTCATCACAAGGATGCTGGCCATCAGCCCATCACTCTCCTCCGCTGGGACCTAAGCATGCTGCCTGACCTGACACCCCACCAACACCGCTTAGCTCTGCACTAACTGCTCCAAGTTATTCCAGGCACTAAAGCTATTCTGACCAACTCACAGGTTTTCAGAGATAGCAACATGGTGCATTTAACACTGAGATAACTTTGAAGAACTGCATTATCTGGTCTTTGACATTGCCTTTTAAGCATGGTGACAGCTGTCATTCCAGATGATCAGCTCTCTGAAAAGAAGGGATGGAGCAATGCACTGGTCAAATTCCACCCTCACATCCCCCTCTTCCTGATTTTCCCAAGCCCTTATTACACATTCATTATCACAGTTGGCATTGTGTAACGAGGCACTTTCTTTTGATGCATTCTTAATCCACCGCTAAACTCTCCTCAGATCTTCAAGGACATTTTCCTCTCTCCTTTCTCCACTTCCTGAGCACATTTGGTTGACATTACCTGAAAATCATTATTAGTTTATTCCTATAACAACTCCTAAAAGCTTCATCTGCTCTGCCAAGCCCTGATCTAGCAGAACAAGGGAGAAGTCCTTGCCAAAACTCCTTGAGAAAACTGCAAAAAACAAGATAAATTTAGGCACATGGGGAAAAACTGAACAGACTACGAAACACTGGTAATAATTAAAGGCATGGTACACCTTTTGAGACATCATTATTTCGGTGGAGGTGCCTGAAGAACCATGGCAAAGGTTTCATGGAAGGACGAGAACAAGCACAGAGTTGCATGTGAAATCTCCAAATGAAAGGGCAATGGAGGATGGCTCAAGAGATGTACCAGCAGAGAAAGGAGGTCTTCTCGAAACCTAGTGAGTCATGCTGTGGAAACAGTAGGTGACTGGGGTCTAGAAATTGAAGGTAAATACTCATCATTATATCCAACATGATCCAGGAGGCACAAGTGAACTAGTAAGACAGAGACCAAAACAACAGACTGAGAAAATGCCCTTCTAGATGGATATCAATAAAGCAACGGTGTACTACCAAGTTGAGACAAAATATGTTGCATGTCATTCAGGGATAAGAAAAGAAAGCCTGAGCAAGAGATTTAGCTAGTTGAATGGCTAGGAAAAGCT